CCCCGTAGGCTCATTTGTATGGCTTTCGGTTCCATTCCAGTCCCCCGGCCTCTCCCGAAAGTTTGCATCCAAGTACAATGGTCCGTACCGCATCGTTCAATGAACGTCACCGGTCAAATAATCCGTCGAACCAGTGACACTTGCCGAGGACAGACGATGCCGTGGTCGTGAGACAGTCCACATCAGCCGCTTAAAATCTCACTATGATCCCCTTGTGCTTGCTTCGCCGTGAGTCGCCAGGATGGCTCCTCTTCACCACCGGGGCAAATGTAGTGAGGAAGAGGGAGAAAGACAGTATCTAGTTGGAGCACCTGAAAGACGACTACGACGATCAGCTGAGCTCGTGACAGTGGCTGACGCCTCTTGAACCAGGAAGTTGATTTTATTCAATAAACCCCCTTATATTACATATATATATATAAATATATATATATATATATATATATATATATTCACTTTCTTTCTATGTGGACAATATCCATGCATATACATCTCAACAGTTTCCGATTTATTCATTACCACAAAATATATTCTCATACAACAGTTTTCATACATACAAGCAATTCAGCATAGAAAGAAAGAGACAAAAAAAGAAACATGTATTTGAAATCGGCAAAGCGTATTCTTATAATTTTACCCTTATTAAATAAGTTAAAGGCACGACCGCTTTTGTCTCTCTTTCTATGCTGAATTGCATGTATGTATGAAAACTGTTGTATGAAAATAGATGTAGGTATTTTGTGGTAATGAATAAATAGGAAACTGTTGAGATGTATATGCATAGATATTGTCGACATAGAAAGCGAGTGACTATATATATATAATAATATATATATATATATATATATATATATATATATATATATATATGCTGTCTGTTTTGTCGCCATGCCAAGGGAGCAGGAACCTCGTCAAGCTGCTGTTTTGCAGCTTTTGCTCTGAGCCCTGGCGTTTTCTTTTTTTTCTTGTAAAAAAGAAATGCGAAATGAACTTGAACTTGAACCACATAGCCACAGCAGTCATTTAAACTCCTTAGAGAAAAAAAACGCTGATCTTACGCACAGTGGGAATCGATGATGTGTGCAGCACGAATGAGAACTATGGATATGTCACTTCAAATTAGCAAAACTTTAAGAGGTGGAAGTAAATGATGCCGTACATGACTTCCGTGTCGTGATTATCATGTTTGAATGCCTCGTGTACCTTCGTCATCTATTCACGTCACGTGATATTAAATTTTGTATATGTGCAGCTAGCGAAACAGCCAGGAGCACGCTATGAGCGTGGTATGTTGTCATGTTCTTACATGACACGCGTGCCAAGATTATCATGTTTGGACCAGTCATATACCTTCGTCATCCATTGATGTGACGCAAAACTAAACTTGGTGTCTGTGGATCTAGCAAAACGGCCATGACAGGATCATGAAGGGCCCGATATACTCCAACGTAACGCTGACGCGCGCGCACACTGGGCACAGAGATGCTTTGTGAGCAAAAACTCGAGCACTCTATAGTCTGACGCCAGGTGCGACCAACGCGAGCAGCATCCGTCGGTACGGCCCGATGGCAACCAGTGCGAAATGCGACATGCCACATTTAACGCCGATACTTTACCCACATAGCACCGCGTCTGCCCCTTTTCGTGATGAAGGCACGCCGCACGCGCTGAAACGCGCATGCGTCGAATTAACGCGGCCCCGCGCGCGCCTGCGAGTATAGGCACTGTTCAGTCGAGTTTTCCAGTCTGACTACAGCGCCAGAATACATAGCCCAGCGGATATAAAAAGAAACCTTGAGACGGCCGTGATAATGGAACGCGACGCGAGCGTCTCGCAATCTGAATCTGTCAGAGGATTGTGTCTGGGATGCATTGGGGACGCGAGCACGCCATAGAGTTTCCCACAATACTTACTAGAGGGAACTCTGGCACTAGTTGCAACACACGGCGCTTCAGCGCGCATGGGAATGATGGGTAGTACACACATTTGTCTAATTTTCGTACTTCTGGCCTGTTTCTGGCTCCATGTGTGTTCGTTTGGCTTGGAGCTGTTTTTTCACGAAAACATAAATTAGCAAATGTTCACCGTTTGCGCTCCACAACCTCATTCTTTTAAGCTTACTATTTCGAATCAAGTCCCTAAGTTCAAAAGGGTTCGTTTTTTCTTTCAAAAGAAAACCGTAACCAGTAATAAACAAAGCCGCAAGTACGATTCGCCGCCCGCAAGTACGAAGACTAGGCAAATGTGTGTACTACCTATCATTCCCATGGTCGCTGAACGATCGCAGCGCCAGAGTGCCCTCCGGTTAATATTAGGAAACTCTATGGAGCACGCATCTCTTTTCTGCATGCTTCTAACAGTGAATGTCTGAAACTTTGAGACCGGCCAGTCTGAGCAACGCTGCTCCCTCTGGTCAGTGTACGGTACGTATATGGCAGGACCTGCGCCTGGCGTGGCAACGCAGACATGACGCGACGAAACGAACGCCGGCGCGCACGCACACCGGTTCACGTCAAGATGTATTGGTGCACTGACTGTGGCATGTAGTCATGTTCTCACATGACACGCATCTCGTGAATATCATGTTTGCACCAGTCACATACCTTCGGGACACATTAACGTCACGTAATACCAAATTTGGCATTGGTGAAGCAAGAGAAACGGCTGCGAGAGCATCATGAGTCTGGCATGTAGTCATGTTGCTACATGACATGCATGTCGTCATTATCATGCTTGGATGCGCGCTTCACTAATGTCGTCTGTTCGCGTCACGTTTTACCGAATTTGGTACATGTGAACCTAGCGAAACGGCCGCGAGCACATCATGAGCGTAGCATGTATACTATAGTCATGTTGTTACATGACACGCATCTCATGATTATCGTGTTTACACCAGTCACATGCCTTTGTCATTCATTCACGTACAGTAATACCAAATTTGTTATATGTGACTCTAGCGAAATAGCAGCGAGCGCATCATGAGCGTGGCATGTAGTCATGTTACATGACATGCATGTCATGATTTTTATGTTAGGGTCTGTCACTTGCGTTCGCCACGCAATAATGTTTTAGCCTACCAATTTTGCAACATGCCATGTGAACGAAACTACCGCAAGAGCAGCAGGGCCATGAAAAGGAAGTCATTACATTCATGACATACATGTCAAGATTTTCATGTTATGACTAGTCAAATAGGGTCGCCTTACAGTCATGTTATGCCATACCTAGTTTGGTATCGATGCCAATATCGAAACGGCCAAGAGACCTAAAATCGTCTGCGGCTAGATAGATAGATAAATAGATATATAGATAGATAGATAGATAGATAGATAGATAGATAGATAGATAGATAGATAGATAGATAGATAGATAGATAGATAGATAGATTGATAGATAGATAGATAGACTGATAGATTGATAAATTAGAAGATTGATAGACGAATAGATAGATAGATAGATAGATAGATAGATAGATAGATAGATAGATAGATAGATAGATAGATAGATAGATAGATAGATAGATAGATAGATAGATAGATAGATAGATAGATAGATAGATAGATAGATAGATAGATAGATAGATAGATAGATAGATAGATAGATAGATAGAAAGTTGCCGTGTTCGCTAAGCAATGCTTCGCATTTAAAACCGTACGCAGTCGTCCAGTCGGACAGTTATTTATGGGATAGAATATCAGATAGCGGGGTAGAATAGCGAAATAACACCAGTCGCCCCACAACGTGAATTTCGTGAAGAATGTCTGGTTTAAATCTATCCACTAAATACAAATATCTCAGCAAGGTGTCTCTTACAGGCAGGGTTCCACGGATGAGCTTTCTCATAAGCCCCTACTTCAATACAGGTGCACTGGTGTTCCTAATACCCATTTGCCTCTTACTTCAGTGCCTCTTGCAAAAAGTTCCGGCTATATTGGCTTAGTGGTTGCACCCCTTATTCATAAAGTTATCATAATTCACGGCTCCGTAGTCTGTGGATACTGTACTATTACAGTTGCCAACGGCCACGGTAGTCTAGAGGCTACGTTGCTCGAGTGTTCACCCGTAGGTCACGGAATCGAATCCCGGCCGTGGCGGTCGCATTTTCGAAGGAGGCGAAAATACTCGAGGTCCGTGTACTTCAGTTTAGGTTCATGTTAAAGAACATAAGCTGGTCAGAATTACCGAAGCCCTCTTCTATTGCGCCTCATATAATTATATCCTATTTGTGGTACACATAACCACTACATGCCGCAGTATCCATAAGAAAGTGTACAGAGGTCTCTAGAATGGCCCCACGAGCAGCTTTTGCTTTGACAGCGCTGCGTGTTCTGCTCAAACCCAGCAGAATTTTTTTAGTTCCAACTGAGGTATCCCAGCATGGCATTCGGTGCTGTGACAACTAATTTTTTGAAAGAGTAGTCTCGCCTTTCCACAATCTACTTTCACTATCCTTCAAATCTCTTTACAAGACCCTGTTCTGGGTGTCCGGATGGGTGACACAATTACGTGCATTTTCTGTACTCAAACAACTACAACTATTGAAACGATATGGACAACCATGCTAACGTCGAAGCCTACTTTGTCTAGCCATGTATTCCTATTGTTGCTTTTGCATGGACAGCAGCTTCTGAAACTGTATTATACAAATCACGCCCGCCATTCTTCGTGTGACACTTACACATAACAAAGTCATTCTAAAACAATATGTGAACAAATTCTTTTTTCCTATATATATTTCAGAAAGCAATAGCAACGATTGTTTTAATGACGACGATACCCCTTAGATAGAGTAGCCACCACAGCTTTTTCACAAAAGCATTTGTGTTTCCGACAAACTCACCTGCACGGAAAGGCCTGTTTTATTCCTGCTGCATAATACATCTAATACGGAAACCATTTTTTTAAAATACATCAAATTCGCACATAAATAAACATCTATAGCATGATTAAAAAAACAAGAAATACTAGAGTGAAAACATGCGTGTATTCACAGCGCACATTATTCTTTGCAGGCTTCAACCGAGAACACAACGTTTACTTTCGACGAAAGGATGACAAGTTTATCTTTAAAGACTTTAATTATTTTGTTAGGATTGAGATATTTTTGCATGAAACAATGGAGTGATGACCAGATCGTTAACTTTCTTGGGTTACCTGTGGTGACATCGCTGAGGCCTCGACTTATGCGACAAAATGCTATTCGTTTCGATCGTACAGTACGTCATTCTGGAATACATCGGCGGCAGCGTCTAGACAGCACTGGTGATTATTCTGGCAAAGGTGCGTATATGACCGCTACCCCAATGCTTCTAAAAAAAACATTCGTGAGTTGTTTTTATTGAAGAGAAACTAAAAGTACAACTGCGCATCGCATAGAGAGAGTTTAATTGCTGCAGTTACCATAAAGAACCTGTAATTGAGAAAGAAGCAGTAGCGCTAAGAAAACTTTGCCAACAATAATATTGTGTTGATAGCAAGTTAAACGCTAATCGATAATTTGAAGAGACAGCAAACGTGCCTCGTATGCTCCAAAACATAGTGTGCTAAGCAGTAGGAGCCGCAGCGTGACTGCATTTTTTGAAAAACACTACAAGTCGGTTCGAGCTGTTCTCTTGAGCAGCAAAACATAACTTCAACTAGCGCTGTTTGTTCAGGAATCTTGTTAAAAGTCGAAAGACGACGACGAAGTGTTCGGGTATCCAGCTCTTCTCTCTGAGCTTTCCGATTTTTTGGTTAAACCTTCAGTTTTGTATGGTGCCTCGGCTCCGCGTCTTGCGGCCATAGACGTGGGGCCTTCCAGAGGACCGCCTGGCCAGCAGTCATGTCAGCTGACCACCGCGAGAAAGAGAGGAACTTCACTAAGTGACAGCGAGGACACAGAACTCAGCCGCCTCGGAAGATGGCTCATCCGACGGTGATTTCATTTCTGCACGGAGCAAGAGGGCGAAGAGGAAGATTGTCAACGCAGCTTCGGCCACCTCTGCGAGAACAGCGACTATAAAGTTAAGGCATGAACTGTGTCAACATGTCATTATCTTTGTGCCAGAAGAGTCCTCCGGAAACCTGTGACTGCTGAACAGGCAAGCACTCTCCGCTTCATTGGAACGTGTGGTACCTAATGAAATCAAGTAAGTCAGAGTAAATACGCAAAAACATATACTCACCATAGACGTATTCCACGTGAATGCACTAGGACCACTCAAACAAATTACTGAGCTAGGCGGCATCAAAGCGTGGCACCGATTGACAACTGAAACATAGCTGGTGTGATATAGGACGCATACATTGCGATTGCCGACGCTTACTTGCCTACCCTAATCAAACAGGCAAATGAAGGTACTGTCATACCTCAGGTACACAGACTTGGGAAGTCACGCTGTGTGAAGCTGGTCTGCAATAGCACACCATCCCATGTCAAAGTCGGACATTTTCGACATCCTCTTCGGCCTTTTGTGCAAAAGGCACTTCAAAGTCACCAGTGCTTTAAACTAGGCCACGTCAAGGGTGTATGCCTGAACTCGCTACGGTGCCTGCGGTGCACAGAGCCCTATTCGGAAGATGCGTGTCAGTCCACATTTTTTAAAGGCGGCAGCTGTAATGGCTCACGCACTGCCTCATCGAAAGACTGCCCTCGAATTAAGAAGGAGCGCACGGTCCTTAAGGAAGTGGTCAGACACAATTCGACCCACAGGGATGCTGTCAAAACAGTCCGGCGTCGGCAGCGGCGTCGGTCCAATCGTTCGACCTCAAAGACTGCGCAAGCTCGAAACGACAGCGCCACCTCTACTGCTACACCATTAATTCAAGCCGAAACAGGACCGACAAATTCAAAGCATATTACGGAGAAGACTATCTCTACAGAGTAATTGCCTATTCTTCCAAGTCATCCGCTAACCATAGAACGTCAGCAGACCACGCCTACTCAGGGGTCTTCACCAACCGCTGATGACACACATAAAAAAGATGGCAAAGTCATAACTATGCTTTGTTCTCTTAAGGATGCCATTCGGGAGATCTTGTTGGACATGAGGACAACGTGTGCTCGAAGCGCTCTCAAAGTACTGGACGCCTTAAGCCAAGTACTTTAACCACTAGAGTAGAAATATGACTAACGATCAAAATAATTTCTAAAAAGTCAAGGAAGCATGTATCATTCAGTGCAACTTCAGTGGGCTAAAACCGCGTATTTTCGGACTTTCGCCAATTAGTGTGCGTCATTATGTTCCAAGTCATCAGCATTTTTTAACCCAACGCTTGTGCGAGCTCTCCTTTCTCTCATTTTATTTCCATCTTTCAAACTCCCTAATCCCTATCCCCAGTGTAGGGTAGCATACTGGTCGCTCCAGACTGTGAACAATCCTGGCTTTCCTTTCCCTCCTGTTCCTTCCTTCCTTCTTAAAAGTCACATATTTTGGTTGGCACATTTCAGCGAAAAAAAACAGCACACGAGCACACGTACATACGGCTTTCCAAGGTACGCCGTTAAGACGCATACATCACGGTATAGTTGCACAAGGTTGTAGTAGTATGGTGCACTTCGCCTTCGTGAAAAACAAAGAGACGCAGAAGCTAGGACTTCACGGCCATCACATTAGCACCATCACCTGGCTAATATACATTTGTTTGTGTTGATTCTTCTACTTCGGCAAGTTGGTGACCCGGACGTTGTTCAATCCAGCAACCTACTGCCTTCAACAATAACTTTGACATAAGCTTCACAATAACGTTAACAGTAGCTGATGTTTTTTGCACTCGTGGGCAATCAGGTGTTTCTGACATATGATCAATAAACGTGTAATCACAAGTAACTTGTGATCACAGTTTGCCACATTTCATTACTCCTGGCTACGAACAGATAATCAGGGCTTTGGCATGTTGCAATTAAAGGGGTGCACTTACAAACACGCCGGTGAATCCCCCCTTCCCGGCATACAGAAATGTAACCATCCAGAGTGACCGTCGTGCAAATTGCAATCCAGTAGAGAGTAAAAAAGTAGCGCCCCAGGCATACCCACGCAGGGGTTCGCGTACACCCAATTTTTTGATCGACCAAGCGCGGCTTTATCTCCCTTAATGTGAAGCGTTTATAAACCAGGCAAAGGGCCTTCTACCACTTTCATTTCTGCGAAGGAGCTCCCTTCAACGTCTACTTCATTTTGTAGGTAACAAATACGCACACAAGCACATGGTTCCATGATGTATATGACATGAAGGATATGAGACGCATTTTTATTAAGTTCAACGTTAATGAGATGAAAGGCACAGGAGCCTCATCGAATGCGACATGACAGTGACCAGCGGCATCCACACAAGCGATGCGAGAAGAAAAGCTTGAATTTGTCATGAACAGCGCGTAGCCAGAAATTTTCTTCGAGGGGGGGTGGAGGGCACAATTTTGATCTCAGCAAAGGCACGCCCTTAAAATTATTATTTTTCGCTCTCTATGTTATGGGCGAAAATTTCGAGGGAAGGGCAGGGGGGCACGTTCCCAGTGTACCACCCCGGCTACTCCCCTGGTCTTTACCTCTTTTTTTTTCGCGTTATATCATAGATTACATGAATTGTGGCGTGTTCAAGACGTCAGTCTAGTAAAGAGATAGTACTGCAGATAATATTTTTCATTACAAAGAAACAGGACGCAACCCAAAACAAACGCACACGGAACTAATAACAACAGGAGGTAGGGGGAAGGGAATCATGAGCGGTCTTCACATGAATAGCGTACATACCAGTGTACCAAGAACAATATGTGGTAAAATTGGCATCGCCAACAGTTTTATTTACAGATGGTATTCTGGCTGTTCTATCCGTGAAACTGTTGCTGCAAAGCAATATGCGGGGCAGTAATGATTTGGCTTCTTTTCTTTATTTCTTCTACATTGTTGTTTATGCGGTTATCGCATACGATGCATTCCGTTTGTAAGTAGCACTGTGGCCTCGTTTTTTTTTCGTACTCGTGTTTCTTTCAGGTGAAGTTCGACATATTTGGGGCAAACTAGCCCGTTAGTCAGTTCATTGCCATTCAGTACACATATCAGATTTGATGCAGCACATAGTATGTTAACTCTGCATGTTTAAATTTCTTATTCTATTGTTTTTATTAACACATGCCAATGCTGCTGAGCTGGTTAGCTTTGGCATTTTCGCTGTTCTCCCATCATGGAGTGATGTCTTATGAAACAGTCAATGTTGTTCTCACTAGTTGGAGCCCATGTTAATATATTATATCTGAGCTCCCATAATCAATATGCAATATAATCAATATCAGTACCAGCTTTAGTAGCCTGGTAGTTTTTTATGACGTCACTGTGGTAGGACGACACAACGATCGTGCTCATGACGTCTCCCCGGTACAAAGACGTAATGGTGGACGATTATCATTTAGGTACTACATTCATACATATTACGAAGCGTATCATACAATCGTGCTTTTATTTATATGTTCTTTCGTCACAGCGGCAACACCAGTGAAGAGACAATATCCTTTTAACAATGATCTTCAAGTTGCCAAACGTGCAAAGGGGCCCAATGTTCTACAACGTGGTGAGTAAAAACACTCTTTTTATGTGTATAACACCAAGAGGACCCGCAAAATTAGACAATGCACATGATTGCATTCTCATGCTTTTGTGGCCTTGGCCGTTGAGAGGGTTTGGTTGAACACAATTGTAACCACAAATAAACCTTGACTGGAAAACAGTTCGTTCCTTATCATTTGAAAAATTGCGTAAGTGCCAGAACTGCTTGAGCCAGCAAGAAGAATTGTCCTCGTTAGGACCGCTGCCACCTTCCAACTCCCTTGACGTAACGTTGTCAGCAGCGACATTGTGTATGCCGTTTTTTGCTCCCGCTTAGAGCGACCTTCTTCCCTAAAACTTTCTCATTACTTGAAAGACACAATATAGTTGAGAGCTAACATATATGCGAGTGAAAGGATAGGGGTTGCTATTACAAGTAAATGTAATGTAAGTAAATGTAATGTGGATGTTCCCCAAAAAATGTGTTGCAAAAGATAACTTCCACTGGCAGCATTCGAACCTGCGACGACCGAATAATGCATCCGATGTTCTACAAGTGAGCTACGGTGGCGGTCGGTCACCCATGTAATTTAAAGGGTATGCATATGCATTTAAACGCGAGAGTGTTAGTCAACGCCATCTATTGCCATTGCGGCGAGTGTACAATGAATCGTGTGTGGTGTTTAACGTCCCAAAATCACCATATGATTAGAAGAAATGCCATATTGGAAGACCCTGGAAGTTTGGACCACCAGGGGTTCATTAGTGTGCACCGAAATCTGAGCACGGCATTTTCGCCTCCGTAGAAAATGCAGCAACTGGAGCCAGGATTCAAACCCGCGACAGCTGCGGGCCAGCAGCCGCGTGCCTTAGCCACGAGGCCCCCGCGGCGGGGCTACACTCGCCGTAAACGCAACAGTTTGTGCTGACTGACACCCACATTTAAATGCACATGGACACCATAAAAGGTAGACGGGGTGGCAACCACGACCATAGCTCACTTGTACAGTATCGGTTGCGTTATTGAATAGTCGTAGGTTCGTATCCTACCAGTGGCAAGTCATCTATTCGTACACTTTTTTGTTAACATTTACACTACAGTTACTTGTAATAACGTTCCTGATTTTTCTGTCGTATCATTCTCTGGTAATTCCCATTACATTGCGACTAAATAGGTGTCATGACAAGTCGTGGTCTCTAAGAAGCGTTCACTGATGTGAAAATAAATATTTCCCGCTGTGAAGAATTTAAAACTGACATTTTTCTTCGCATGTGCAACGTTATTGCCAAAGGAGCTAAAGAAACCACTTTTTGCACGTGTTGAGGTCGACATTATGTGGAATAAAATCAAAAAATAAATATCTCGAAAACGTGCATTGCAGGTTGAAAAGAATTCATAGTCCTCAATTGTATAAAACTAGAGCAGATAGAGCATGTTAGGATCAGTCCGTATGAATAGTGTTTATTGGTGTTTTATTGGCAGAACTAGCATCATAAGTAGCATTTATAATAAAGGTCTATGAGCTAAACAAATGTATCTAAACGAGAGTCCTTGGGATACTCAAAATTTCAAAATGAATGATGATGCGACGAACATGTACTTTCTTTGCAGGATGAAGTGCAAGCATATTGAAAAGCTAGAGATCAAGATCTCATTACATAAGCTCTAGTAGATAAAGATTGTGAGTATAACACCGACTGTCAACAGAGAATGCCACTGTTTGAAATCCCTGCCTTAAGATAGTGCAGCTGTAAAACCAATTACACATGCAGTAATGACAATTCAGGTAACCACAAAACGTAAGAGCAGATGAAATGAAAAAATTTTGCCGGGGCAAAACAGTGCCGACTGGTACATGGCGTAAAAAATTAAAAGGTGTCATACCTGTCGTGAAAGTTTTGCCGCATGACCAGTGTTTGTGTTCTACTCCAATTTTTTACACCTCTCCCCGTCCCTACGTGGGAGCAGCCCGCGATTATAGCCCTATAAAACGGGGGTGGAATCTTTCAAGACCCCAATAAATTTTTTTTTCGTCATCATCTATCATCATCTCACCGCAAAGACTGTTGTTCTAGCACAGGGCTGCACCTTTCTGAAGTCCAAAAGTTAGTTTAAAATCGATACCAATTTCAAAAAGTGCAATACATGGAAAGACTTCCTCGCGGTGATTTTGAAAACAGTTTGCAATTAGTGTCACCCGAGCAATATTTCAGTTCAGTCAAATGACCATGCAAGAGAAAGGGTATCCTAGGACATTTGACCACAAAGGTAAGGACACCGTGGATATTATGAAAAGCTTCATCCAACACAAGCACGGGTGAATCAAGTGGCACGCACTTGTAGCTGAGGTGCATGCTAGTTAACAAAGCTGTTTTCGTTCGCATCATTGTCTGTTAGATCCCATTGTAAAGGAGTTTATTGAACGAGCTGCACAAGCAGGTGGTAGCTCGAAAAAGAAAGCAGGCGGACCAAGATTACGGTGCTCGAGCGCTGATCTCGTGCTTTCTTCTCGTGGTGACGATAGTTTTGCCCATAGTAGCAATGTCCGTCTTCTTCATTATACTTACCCCCGGCGAAAAAGATTAAGCCAGCCTGGCAATCTAGCAGGTGGGGTCAAGCGGGTGTAAGTAGGGCTTGAGAAGGTCTACGTGAACGATATCACGTCCACGTCGATTACAGTGACTCGGTGGCGTGAGAAGTTCAATGACGTAGTTCATGGGTGAGGTACGCTCGGACACTTTGTAGCGGTCATAATAATTGGAGAGCAGCTTGGGCGATAAACCAGGAACGCAGGGCGGTGCATGTAGCCATACAATTGCTCCATGAACGAACATGGGTGCATAACGATGGATCCTTAAGTGAAGACAACCAGCATAAAGCGTGGTGTTCCGTTGCTACATCAAAAGGTATAAAGGTATGGCCATAAAGGTAGGTACGGAAGTTGACAGTGCCCAAACGATTGCCAAGCAGTCCTCATTGACGCTGTAGTTAAATTCAGCTTTGGTGAGAGTTCTGCGGGCGTATGCGACGACATACTCGGTGAATCCAGGCTTGCGTTGCACGAGAACCGCACCGAGGTCGCCACCGCTCTCGTCGGTGTGGACCTCAGTTACCGCCGTAGGATCGTTAGATTAGATTAGATTTGTGGGGTTTAACGTCCCAAAACCACCATATGATTATGAGAAACGCCTTAGTGGAGGGCTCCGGAAATTTTGACCACCTGGGGTTCTTTAACGTGCACCCAAATCTAAGTACACGGGCCTACAACAATTCCGCCTCCATCGGAAATGCAGCCGCCGCCGCCGGGATTTGATCCCGCGACCTGCGGGTCAGCAGCCGGGTACCTTAGCCACTAGACCACCACGGTGGGGCATCGCCATAGGATCGTAGTGGCGCAACATTGGTGGTGAAGTGAGTAGACGATGAAGGGTGCAGAAGGCTTGGTCATACTCCGAAGACCATGACGAAATATCAGTGGCGCTGCCTAGAAGTCCGGTCTAAGGAGATATATTAGAGGCGAAGTTGCGCACGAACCGGCGAAAGTATGAGCATATTCCTATGAAGCTCCATAACTGATTCGAAGTCGTTGGTGAGGAGAAAGAAGTTGGTGACAGCACGTAATTTAGCTGGAAGTATACCAACATTTCATACGACGTGAGCGAGAATCGTAAGATGCTGCGCAGCGAAGTGGCTGGAGTAGAGCATTCTTCAGGCACAGGAGGAGGTTTTTCAGGCGCTCGAGATGTGTTCCAAAGTCTGGTGCAAAGACGACAATATCGTCAACATAGCAGAGACATAATAATGCGAAGCATCTCTTAACAAACTTCGGCGACTTAGAGCGTATCTATCTATCTATCTATCTATCTATCTATCTATCTATCTATCTATCTATCTATCTATCTATCTATCTATCTATCTAGCCACCTACGACTTTTAGCTCTCCTGGCTGTTTCGATATTGGTATCGATACCAAACTTGGTATGTCATAACATGAGTGTATTAGGAGCACGTTTGACTAGTCATAACATGAAAATTGTGATATGTATGTCATGAATTTCATGATTCACATTTCATGGTGCTGCAGCTCTTGCGGTGGTTTTGTTTGCATGGCATGTTGCAAAACTTGTATGGTATGGCATGATTGCATGACGAACACAAGCGACAGACCCTAACATAAAAATCATCACATGCGTTGCATGTAACAACATGAGTATATGCCACGCTCATGATGCGCTCGCAACCTTTTCGCTAGCGTCACACATACCAAATTTGGTATTACGGCACGTGAATGGATGATGACGGTATGATACTGGTGAAAACATGATAAACATGAGATGCGTGTCATGTAACAACATGACTACATGCTATGCTCATGATGCACTCGTGGCCGTTTGGCTAGCTTCACATGTACCAATCTTGGTGTTACACGACGCGAACTGACGACATAACATAGGTAAATGACGCATCCAAACATAATAATCACGGAATGCTTGTCATGCAATACTTGACTACATGCCACACTGATAATGCGCTCGCGGCTGTTTCGCTAGCTTCACATATGCCAAATTTGGTATTACGTGACGCCAACAGACGACGAAGGTATGTGACTTGTGCAAACGTGATTATGATTAGATGCGTGTCATGTGAGAACATGGCTGCATGCCACAGTCAAGGCGCCTATCCATTTCGACGTGACGCGGTGCTCGTGCTCGCCGGCACTCGTTTCATCGCGTCACGCGGACGTTGCCTTGCCGGGCGCAGATCCTGCCATGGATGGATGGATGGATGGATGGATGGATGTGGCTGTACCCTTTAGATCGGGCGGCGGCTAACGCCACCTAGCCGTAATACTTAGTGAACTAACCATTACATTTATCTTTTTTTTTTCCTTTAAATAATGAAGTTGAGGATTCGTACTTCGCAGTGAAGGGTTTAATTTTCACTCGTGCCTTGACTTTAGCCACCAATCAGATAACCTCCTTCTAGTTAAGTCTACCCGCTTAAAGTCTATTTTGCCCTCGCTGTCCCTAAATCCCAGTGCTTTGAAAAACTCTGCGCCATCATCCTGAACTATAGGGTGAAGCCCTTTGCAGAACATTATCAAGTGTTCGGCAGTTTCTTCTTTCTCTCCACACGCACTGCATACTGTGTCGACCCCTTCGTATTTGGCCCGATATGTCTTGGTTCGCAGTACTCCCGTCCTGACCTCGAACAGTAGAGAACTACCCCGGGTATTATCATAGATCCTTTCCTTGGCAATTTCCTGCTTAAAAGTTCGATAGATCTCTAGTGCGGACTTCTTAATCATGCCCATTCTCCACATGTCAGTCTCCGTTTCCTTCACTTTTTTCTTAACCAATAGTTCTTTTTGGTTTGGCCACCTGCTGTTTTCTAAGTATTTACCAGTCAACTTCCTGGTTCGCTTCCTCCATTTTGTATCGACATTCTTCATGTACAAGTAGCTGAAAACCTTCCTAGCCCAACGCTCTTCCCCCATTTCTCTCAATCGCTTCTCAAATTTTATCTTGCAGCTAGCTTCCCTACCCTCAAATGATGTCCATCCCATATCACCTTGTACTCCCTGATTTGGTGTATTCCCGTGAGCTCCTAAAGCAAGCCTACCTATTCCACGTTGCTTAATTTCTAATCTTGCTTGAACTTCTGATCTCATGCACAAGACCGCATTGCTGAACGTCAGCCCAGGAACCATGACCCCTTTCCATATTCCTCTCACAACATCATACCTATTGTAATTCCACAGTGCCCTATTTTTCATGACTGCTGCATTCCTGTTACCTTTAGTCGTCACGTATATTTCGTGTTCCCTCAGACACTCGGTCCCATTCCTTATCCATACGCCCAGATATTTGTATTTATCTGTTATCTCTAGCGTGACCTCCTGTATTCTAAGCTCACTACCTTCGTTGTCATTGAAAATCATGACTGCTGATTTTTTCCTACTGAATCTAAAATCTAACCTATCTCCCTCATTACCGCAGATGTCCATCAATCTCTGCAAATCTTCCTTGTTGTTGGCCATTAGCACTATATCATCTGCGTACATTAATGCTGGTAGTGCCTGATCAATAAGTTTTCCTTGTTTGACTAAAGAGAGGTTGAAGCCCAGTCCACTTCCCTCTAATTTTGCCTCTAATCCTTGTAGGTACATCATGAATAATAAGGGTGACAAGGGGCACCCCTGCCTAAGCCCCCGTTTTACCTCTGCCGGCTTGGATACCTGTTTTTCCCACTTTGGCGCGCGCCATGTAATCACAGGCGCGCGCCACGCTGCGTCGCTCTGACGCATGCGCGTTTCACCACATCCGACGTCCCTCCTTCACGAAAAGAGGGAGACGCAGTGTAGTCTGTGTAACGCACTGGCGCGAAATGCAGCATGCCGCATTTCGCACTGGTTGCCGTCGGGCTGCGCCGACGGAGGCTGGTCGCGCCTGGCGTCAGACTCTAGTGCTCGCATTTCGCTAACGTTACGTCGCTGTGCCCAGCGTGCGCGCGCGTCAACGCTACATTGGAGTATATTGGGTCGTTCATGATGCATTCGCGGTCGTTTTGCTAGCTCCACATATACCAATTTGGGTGTTACGTGACGTCGTTGGATGAGCGAATCTATGACTGGCGCAAAGATGATAATCCTGACACGCGTGGCATGTAAGAACGTGACAACATACCACACTCATAGC